CAGGGATGAGGCTCTTGGTTAGGGAGGGACCTGTGGCCCCGCAACTCCTATCTCAACAGAGTCTGACATCACCTCTGCTGTAAATCTTTAGGGAACAGTCAAAACTTTTGGAGGTGTTAAAAATAAAAGTCTCCTCAAGAAGTCTAATTGTGGGGGAAAGGATATAGCTTAGTGGTAGAGTACATGTTCAGCATGCATGAGGTCCTGGGTTCAATCCCCAGTACCTCCAATAAACAAACAAACAAACAAACCTAATTACCTTACCCCCCTAAAAAAAATCCAAAAAGCAAAAAACAAAAGAAGCCTAATTGCTAGTGTTGATGATGAAAACAAAGGGGTCAGAGAAAGGGATAAACCGAAGAGTGACATGCAGAATTTGGCGGTGCCAAATTCAGGACGTGAGTGAGTCCATCACACACTCTATTCTGAAACCAAAAACGCAACCTATGAAACTTTCAGAGAACACTGCAGTGGGAATGCTCGTCTCCTTTGGGTGGACTTTCTGCATTATCGTACTGTCTGCAGCCTGGGGAGACGTGCGGGTCTTGAGATGTAGTCCTTGAAAATGTCAAGAGCACACTAAACAAGGTATTAAGCTCTAGCTGGGAAACCGAAATAAAGTAGTTTAGAAAAGATGTATGTCTGCATCTATGTGGTGCTTCTGCCGTGAAATGCTCCAGGGTAGGTAAGAGCACGTCTATGGAAAGATGTGTAAGTGAAAGTCCCACTCAAGGGATGCCTTTGAGAAGGTCATTTGTGTGTTGTAGCGCATGTGTGTATCTGGCCAGCAACATGACACTAGAAAAATGAGCACTGTTTTTCATTTATAGCCAATGCTACTTATTTATTGGCCGAGTCATTTTAGTTCCACTGTGGTAACTTGAAGGATTTGAGTTCAGCAGGCCACACTAATATTCTATAGGCTATTTAGGCTGCTTTGGATTTTGAGGAAGAAAACTATAATATAATAAATCAGGAGTTGGTTCACACTTTGATATTAGGTTGGTACTCCACTTTTAATACGTCTAATGATGCTAATACGTGGTATGTATCTATGTGTGAAGGGGAGAGAAGGAAAAATCAAACTTTTTCTTTATCAAGATATTCGTAAGGATTTTCAAGGAACGGTATTTATGCTGTGAAAAATTATCCTTTCCACTTTTATGAAAATCATGCATATTAGAAAACAGTTTATTAACGAGATACACTTGAATATAAAAACACAAGCTCACATTCAAAAGGAAATGGATGTCCAGGGATAATCTGTCATGAGGTAAAACTTAGTCCCATTTCACGTCTTTACCCTGACTTGAGCACCGATGGCACTTTAAAGAAAAGCTCCCGCTGGCTTGTTTCCTTTTCTGCCTTATGTCAATGTCACTTGCTACATGTGACTTATTTGGGCTCCTCTGTTGTGAGTATCTTCAGGGTGGGGACCATTTCCCATGGGGCTTTGCAGCGGACACTGCCCACGGCAGGCACTCAATGAATTATGGCGTTATACTGAAACTTTGAAAATAGCTATGTTGTTCTGGCCTTTATGATTTAAATTTTCAGATAGACAGTAACACATACATATGGCCAGCAATTCAAACAGCACACCAGAAACCATCAGTGAAAGAAAGTCTCCCCCCAAAAATCCCTTTCCTCAGTCAGCTCCTCTGCCCTTGGCAGGAGCAGCTACTGCTACAAGCATTACAATCATACTCTAAAGTGCATATTTTATGCAGCTTCCTCCTTTAAATAAGTTTTTAAATTGAGGTATAACTGACACATGATATTAGTTTCAGGCATATTAAGTAAGTTTTTGATGGTATTCTGTTATAAGAAAGGAAAACAGAATGGAAGAAAGGAAGACTTATATTTTTGAAAGTTTTAAGAAGAAACAAGAACAACCCCAGGCGGCCCTACTTTAAAGCCATGTTAGGAAAGCAGGTTCCGGTGAAGACACACTCGTATGGTTGAGAGTTGAACTGGGAAATCCACAACTGCAGCTTTATCTGTGCCGTCCCGTACTGAGAGGGGGTGAAGGTCACAGTCACATTCACCTTCCCGTTAGCTGGAATTATTCCTGAGAGGAAAGAAGTGAGAACATGTGATACTTTCTCTTTTGTAAATTCCAAGCAGAGGGAGATCAAGCAATGTCCCCACTGTTCTGTGGTGAACAAAGTCATAAACCAAGACTTTCAGACCCAGTAAAGTTGCTCTTTGAGATTACAGGCAGCAGAGACGTTCTCAGACAACCACGCCTTCTAGGTCTGCAACCACTAGGTCAGACGGACACACTACCAAACGCTCATCTTGAACAGAGGGTACGTAGAGCCCCAGAAGGCGATATGAATACTGAGACTTAAGATGAGAGCTATGATTAATTTCTCTAACTTTTCCCTCACCAAAGAGAATTTTCCTCAACTCTCAGTCTGGGAAGCAATTCTATCTGCCTCCTATTTCAAGGCATTCTGGTGTCACTCCTTTGCCAGCTTAGGCTAGTGCTGAGAGATGGAGCCTGGAGTCAGAATGTCCCTGTTGCCTCGGGCAAGTAATCTGGTCTCCCCGAGCCTCCCTGTCCTTGGCTGTAAAAAGGTGATGATAATAGTGGGGAGGGTATAACTCAGTGGCAGAGCTCATGCTTAGCATGCATGAGGTCCTGGGTTCAATCCCCAGTACCTGCATTTAAATAAATAAGTAAACAAACAAACAAACAAAAATCTGATTATCTACCCTCTTCCCAAAAAGGTGATGACAACAGTGGGAAGGGTATAGCTCAACAGTAGAGTGTGTGCTTAGCATATACAAGATCCTGGGTTCAATCCCCAGTACCTCCATTAAACAAATTAACAGACAAATAAACTTAATTACCTCCCCACCAAAAACAACAAAAAAATAATAAAAAAATTTTTTTAAAGTATGATCTCTTGGTTTTGCTTCTCCCAAACATTCTTTTTGGACCTCCCATATGGTCTCTGGCTATTCTCCCATTGGCTGAACTGGAAGGTTATCAGAAGGATTCTGCTGGTATACTTTACTCATTTCTATCAATTGCCAAAGCTATATCTGTGTCTCCATGTCTCATCAGTATATATTTTCTGGGATGAGGCTATTCATGATGGTCCTAATCACTAATAAAAAACATGATGTGGGGGCAGACTTTGTGTGCTGGAGATCCAAAGCCCTGACCATCCCCTTGACAATCCTGATCTGTCCCCTGCACAGTCTGTGCTGAGGTTCGGGGAGGGAGGTCCTCTGTCTTGCCTGTCTCTTCTGCAGTGAGGCGAGGAGGAGAAGCAGGGGCAACCTTCCTTATTCATATTCCAGTCTGGAAGGAATGGCTTTGCCCATGAACTCACAAAGGATTCTGGACTCTGCAGGTGAGGCTT